GTATGAGGTTTGCCGATGCCGCCCGACTACGTTCCTGGAAGCCGTACGGCTGGCAGGATCTACAGATGCGCTGATGCAGTGGGCGAGGGGAGGTTCCCGGGAGGGAAACCGTTTCGCAAACAGACCCAACGGGCCACAATCAACGGAGTCCATGCACCCGACCGCCCCTTTCCGGGGCTGTGTTATAAGTATGGGAAATCGGGTCACATGTCTAGAGACTACCACGAGAAAACGTCGGCGAAAAGGAACGACGGGAAAGAGCCAGGAAATAGGAAGAGTCTGTGATATACGGGCCCCTTACCGACTGTGCTCTGTCGCCCAAACTTCACCATCCCCACCGAGTCGTGGTTCGATTCATGCAACGACGCCGGACGGCTGCGACGTGCTTCTGAGACATGATCGGCTGCGACTACACAACCCCATCATCGACTCGACGACGGAATCGTGCAGTATCAGCAAGCACGATGGGCTCATTACATTACCTGCATGGACCCCGGACTACATTCAGGCCCAGTGCGTCAAAGCCATCACTATTGCCCGCCATTTCAATCGAGGCGCGCAGCTGTTTGCTGTGTGTTTGCGCGAGTTGGCAACTGACACCGACGGAAAGGACATCGAGAAGCTGTGCACAGGACGCCCCGAGGACCACAAAATACACAGTAACCTGGCGCGCAACTGACTGTTCGTACACAGTGGCGACTGACTCAGCCGGAACTCGAGGAGCTACGAAGCCAAATTGACGGACTGTTGGAGAAGGGGTTTATATGACCCAGTACATCTCCCTTCGCAGCTCCGATCATGTTTACGCCGAAAAAGGACGGCGGCCTTCGCATGTGCATCGACTGTCGTGCGCTCAACAGGGCCACCATCAAGTCCCGCTATCCAATCCCACGTACCGACGACCTCCTCGATCAGCTTCGCGGTGCTCGCTCTTTCTCGAAAATCGACTTCGTGGCGGTTACCACCATATTTGGGTCTTCGCCGACGATTGCTACAAGACCGCGTTTTGAAACCGCTACGGAAGCTACTGTCAGAATAGTGAAGGAAGGAGTGACTGAACTAGCAAGCAGGTGGGTACAAGTAGGAAACCTAAAAGTGTTGTACCCTATATGAACTACCCCACTACAGCCTACACAGGCTATAGCATATAAGTTTGACACACCCCCATAGGCAAAGTGGGGGAGAACAAGAGGTCAGAAGACCGGTCAAGAAAGGCAAAGCAAGCTCAGGGTGGATCACGACGTCACCACGCATTCTGAGCACAAGAAAATGGCCACAAGGCCAGTTCACATGCAGAGTTATATAAAGGAGAACAAGCAATACAGTGATCACAACCTAGCAAGTGTAAGCATGCAGGTATATGTATAGAGATCACAGTACAAGCAGAGTCAAGAAGTAAGCAAGTGAGGCACAGTAGGCACAAGGCCTAGAACAGTACAGAAACGCTGATGATCACAAGGCTGAAGTGCCTTGGTGAAGACATCAGCAGTGTTGGCCCGAGTGGCCACGTAAGCAAGATGAAGCTGACCACGCTGCTGCAACTCTCGAGCAAGGAAGTAGCGCAGAGCGATGTGCTTCGTTTTGTGCTCCAGTCTGTGCTCCTGACACAAGGCAATCATGGCCTTGTTGTCGACGTACAGCACTGGAGGAGAACGAGGCGGCTCTCCCAGGTCGGTCAGCAGGTAGGTGAGCCAGCGTAACTCCTGTGCAGCCATGGCCCCTGCGTAGATCTCAGCCTCACAACTGGAGCTGAGAACAGAAGACGAGCGGGTAGACCGCCAAGAAACAGAGCCGGAGCCAAGGCTGAAGGTGTAACCCTGTGACGACCGCTGCGTAGCCAAGTCGTCAGCCCAGGAAGCGTCTGCGTGACCAGTGAGGACAACTCGAGCCCGTCCTCCAAGCACAAGCCCCATGCCCGACGTACGGCACAAGTAGCGCAACACCTTCTTAGCGGCATCCATGTGCTCCTTCCTGTGTCTGCCAGGAGCGACATAGCGTGCTAGAATGTTAAGAGGGTAGGCAAGGTCAGGTCGAGTGCAGGTCATCAGGTACATGAGGCAGCCCACAAGCTCTGGATACGGGCCACTCGGCTCTACGGACTCGTCCGAAGGTGGAGCTGAGAGCGAGTGACCGGTAGGCAGAGGAGTGGACTGTGGCGAGGAGTACGTGAAGCGGAAGCGCTGAAGGACCTGCTGCACCATGTGTGACCGAGTCAAGGTAATGATGCGCTGTGCTCTGTCCCGGGTGATCCGCAAGCCAAGATAGCTTGTCAGCTCACCCAGGTCTGTGCACGTGTGTCTCTTCTGCAGCTCCGACTTCACGTGGGCGAGTCCCTCAGTGTCAGCAGTAGCAAAGACCAGGTCGTCTACATACACGAGAACGTAGAACGGCGGCAGAGTGGTGTCGGTGCGTAGAAACAACGACGGGTCGGCAGTAGAAGGAGCAAACCCAAGAGCAGCAAGAGTCGTCCTCAGTGTGTCGTGCCACTCACGGGGTGCCTGGCGGAGACCGTAGACTGGCCGCCGGAGGCTCCACTGGGTACCAGCAGGAAACGACCCAGTGAAGCCAGGTGGGCGGCGCAGCCAGATCTCCTCGTGCAGGCTGCCCTATAGGAAAGCAGTGCTGAAGTCAAGAGAGTGAAGCTCGTAGTCACGCTGAGCGGCGACGTGCAGCAGAACCCGAAGAGTGGTCATCTTCGGGGTAGGGGAGAAGGTCTGGAAGAATTCAACTCCCTCTCGCTGTCTGAAGCCTCGTGCAACGTAACGCGCCTTGAAGACAGGCGGAGAACCCGGCGGCCGCTTCACCCTGAAAATCCACATGCCACTGACGATGTTCGCCCCAGGCGGGGGAACCTCGTCGACGTAGGTGCCTGTGGACTTCCAGGAAGCCATCTCTGTGTCCATGGCTGTCTGCCACTGAGAGGAGTAGGGACCCTCTATCGCCTCTGCGTAAGAGCGCGGGGTCGGGATGTCTGGTGCATCCGGGTCTCCCTCAGGGGCAAGCAGCATGGACACGAGATGAGGTAAAGCAGCGGCGAAGCACTCAAACTCCTCCTGTCTGTCCTCAAGGACGTCCGTGCCAAGAGCACACTCACCACCGACGGACGGAGGACAGAAAGACTCAGACTCAGACTCAGCAACAAGACTAGCGGCGTAGTCGAGACGACAGGCGGCAGCAAAGTCAACAAGCTCAGCAACTAGAGCAGACGCAACAGTGGACTCAAACGAAGGGTCAGTGACAACAGTGGCCAGGAAACGCGTGACAGTAGGACTAGCAGCACGAAGGGAGTCAGACTCCGGGTCCGGACCGTCAGGAAGAGAGGACACAGGAGGAGACGGCAGAGGGACACGCAGTGGAGCAGTGGAAGGAAGAGGACGCTCATGCGGAACACGACGACCAGTGCGAACAGCGCGAACAGGCGACTCAGGACGAGACTCAGGCGACGCAGGACGAGACTCAGGCTCACGACGCTCCGTAAGACCTCTAGTCGGTCCAGAGTAAGGAGAAGGACCAGGTAGTGTAGAGGCTGGCTGTAACTGCGACTGCGACTGGACAGGCGGCGGACTCAGTAGGGGAGGAGAAGGACCAGTAGAATGCGGGAGGCCAAGTACCTGCTGAAGGAGTGGAACGTAGTACGGCCGCGGCCGCGCAGCGCCTCCAGAAACAGCAGAGACAGCACCAGTACCCGCAGCTCCAGGGTCTCCAGCTACAACTCCCGCAGCACCACCAACTGCAGCACCTCCAGCAGCTCCAGCTCCAGCAGCACCTCCAGCAGCAACAGCTCCAGCACCTCCAGCTCCAACTCCTGCAGCACCACCAGCACCAGCAGCTCCAGTACCTCCAGTACGAGCACCTCCGGGACCAGCGGCTCCAGCACCTCCAGCAGCTCCAACACCAGCAGGACCTCCAGCAGCGCCAGTACCTCCAGTACGAGCACCTCCAGGACCAGCGGCTCCAGCAGCTCCAGCACCAGCAGCACCTCCAGCAGCTCCAGCTCCAGAAGCACCTCCAGCAGCAGGCCCCGTAGCTCCAGCAGCACGGCTACAGCGCCGAGCGTACCACTCACGTAGCCGCTGTGGAGAGAGGGGCTCCCGCCGTGACGGGACACCCGGAGCACCTCCAGACTCAGCACACTCAGGCTCAGCACCCCCAGACTCAGCACCCCCAGGCTCAGCACCCCCAGGCTCCACACGCTCAGGCTCAGCACCCCCAGGCTCCGCACCCTCAGACTCAGCAACCCTAGGCTCAGCACCCCCAGGCCCCGCACCCGTAGGCTCAGCACCCCTAGCAGCACCAGAGTCGACAGCTACCTCGACAGGCTCGACAGGGTCTACCTGGGACACACCTGAGGGGGCAGGACCCTGAGGGGGGAGGGGGTCTACCGGAGGAGCACCTGGTGCGAGGAAGAGCGGCAGGGGGGGGAGAGGGGCAGTGCGGTAGGGAAAGAGACGGTTGTAAGATACCGACTCGTCAAACGTGACGTCCTGAGAGGACAGAACACGACGCGAGGTGGGGTGGTAAAACTGCCACCCAGGCGCGTCAGGGGGGAAGCCAAGGAAGACGCAGGGAACAGCACGGGAGGACAGCTTGTCCGCGGAAGAATCGCGGACAAAAGCTCGAGATCCCCAGACACGGAACACAGACGCATCGCCAACCTTCCCCGTCCACCGCAGAGTAGGTGTGGTCTCCGGCAAGGAGACACGAGGCTGAAGGTTGATCTGATGCGCAGCGTACTGAACCGCGAACGGCCACAGAAAATGGGGAGCAGCCGCATGGATCATGGACGTACGAGCGACGTCCATGACCATGCCAATGCGGAGCTCAGCAATCCCATTTTGCTGTGGGGAGGCCGGAAGCGTGAACGTCTGGCGGATGCCCTCCGCACGACAGAAAGCCCTTAGAAGGTCGGAGGAAAACTCACCACCCCTGTCTGAGTGCAGACGCAGAACAGGAAGGTCCGAGCCGAAACTCTCGCTGAGCTGGCGACGGGCACCGCGGATCTAGTCGATCAACACCTCAGTGACCTCACCCTTGCGGCGCAAGGGGAAGACTGTGGTGTAACGCGAGTAGTCGTCAACGACCAGCAGGAAGTAACGCTCGTGACCCTGTCCACGGACGCGGGCTGGGCCCCACACGTCCATGTGGAGAGTATGCAGGGGAGCCTCTGTCGGAGGGAACTCGGAAGAGTGAGGAGCGGCGCGTTGCCGGCCCTCAACACAAGGAACACAGGTAGGGGCCGGCCCCGGAGGAAGGGGAGGGAGGGACCGGGGGAGACCAGAGACAAGGGTACGGGAGGCCATACCTCGAAGACGAGGCAGGGAGGGGTGACCAAGGCGGTGGTGCCAAAGGAGAGTCTCGTGTGACAGAGGACGACACGAGCAGGGGGCAGACGCCGGACTAGACCTGGACGCGGCAGCAAACACCTGACCAGACGCGGCTACCTGACCAGACGCAGTGACCGGAGGAGACGCAGTAGTCAGTGTGTACAGACTCGACCCAGGCCGACGGGTGAACGTGGCCAGGTGGCGGCCCGTCCGAGAGCAAGTGCAGTGGGTCACCCGCTGACCTCCAGGGGTGAACTGGTCAACCCACACGTCCTGGAGGTCAGCTCCACTGACCAAGTTCGTAGACAACGAGGGGAGGTGGAGTCCCGACAGCAAGCCCGACGGGGCCGCAGGACACGGTAAAACCGTGGAGGAGTGCGCAAGGACCGGGCCCCCAGAGGGGTCAGCCAGGGAGACTGCGACTGGCCGACTGAGCGGTGTGAGTGTGGTGCTGTCGCGAAAGAAGGAGCGCGAAGCACCGGAGTCAAGTGTGAAAGTGTGGAAGGCCTTTGTAGGTGCAGTACCAAAGAGAGCAGACTCACCAGCACCTGGAGCAGCAGACTCACTCGTACCTGGAGCAGCGGACTCACTAGCACCTAGAGCAGCAGCCTCAATGCCCAGGTGGGGCGGAACACACAGGTAACAGTCACCCTCAGCACTATCAGTCACAGCATACATGGCAGCAAGGATAGCATCGAAATCAAGATCAAAGATAGCAACGTTCTGCGTATGCAGATCACCCCAGCGAGGGAGCTCAACAGCGTCAGGAAATTGGGCGCGCCAGGCGTCAGTCAGGCGACCGAAGCAGCGCTGCGTAGTGTGTGGCAGTCCGCACGTCTCCCCACGGCGCCCGCCGGTGCGAAGAGCGTAAGTGCAGGGACCAGCACCCCCAGACCTCCCACGCCCAGCGTACCACTCACGAAGCTGCTGGGCCGACGGGGTCTCACGGGAACGCGGCTGCTGCTGGAGCTGGCTACCACCAAAGCCTCCACGCTGCGCGGCTCCACCTCGACCAACACCACCGCCGCCGCCACCTCCACCACCGCTGCCGCTGCCTCCACCGCCGCTGCCGCTGCCTCCACCACCCCCACCGCCGCCACCGACGCCCCTACTCCCGCCACCACCCCCACCTCCACCGCCACCCCCTCCGCCTCCTCCACCGCCTCCACCGCCGCCCCCACCGTCCCCTCCACCACCCTTGCCCCCCTTGCCCTTGCTGTTGCGGCGCCTCCCACTAGGAGCAGACGCAGCCCCGACCTCCTCAAAGCTAACGAGGTCGACAGCAGCAGCAGAAGCAACAGAGGGGAGAAGGGGGACAGGGGAACACCCCTCAAAGAAAGGGGCGCGAGGGTCGCCGCGAGAAGCACCTACAGCAAACGATACTCTTCTCAGCTGCAGTGAGGCGCTCCTCTAGCAGGTCGATGGTGAGCTCGGTGGGGTAAAGGGAGAGAAAGTGGTCCCTGACTGAAGAAAGGGAGCCAGGGAGACGGGTGACTAGGTAGTAGAGGGTGATGTACATGGAGGGGGGGTTCTTGGCACAGAACTCAGTGGGAAGCGCAGCGCGGTAGCGGGCGTCACTAGTGCGGAGGTGAGTAATGAGGTCAGCGACTGTGGCAAAGGCGGCAAGGTCAGGGAACAGGTACGGCGGCATGAGGCGACTGAGGGCAGCAGTGGCAGGGGAGGAGTAGCGCGCTACGACAGCGTCATACAAAGACTTAGCAGTCTTGTACTGGCCAAAGTGCGCGCGCTCAGCAGACGGCAGGTGACTATGAACAGCAAGGCGAGCAACAGCCTCACGAGTGGTCCACTGCGAGCGAACCGTACTGTCAGCAGTGGCAGCAGGTGCAGGAGAGACACCAGACGTGTGATCGAAAAGGGATACTCCGTCCTTGGAGTCACACTGAAGAAAGAGCTGTAGGTCGTCAACCCACACGTCAAAGTCAACCGCACGCCCCTCAGCATCAAAGGTAAGAACATTAGGGCTAGCCATAGCGGCAGTAGCAGCAGTAGCAGCAAGAGCAGCGCGGGCAGGTCAGTGCGGCTCAGTAGGGCGGCGCGGCTCGGCAGGGCGGCGCGGCTCGGTTGGGCGGCGCGGCTCGGCTGGGTGGCGCGGCTCGGCTGGGCGGCGCGGCTCGACAGGAGCGGCGCGGCTCGGCTGGGCGGCGTGGGTGCTTACCAGGGGCGGGTGCAGGGCAGGACCGCAGCTGGCGGTTAGGTCTGGGCCGCGACTAGGGCGGCAGTAGGGCAGGGCCGCGACTTGGCGGCGGTAGAGCAGGGCCGCGACTGGGGCGGCTGAAGAGCAGGGCCGCGACGAGTCGGCGGCAGAGCAGGGCCGCGACAGGGCAGCAGCAGGGCAGGGCCGCGGCTGGACGGCGGTAGAGCAGGGCCGCGACGAGCAGCGGCAGGGCAGAGGCCGCGGTGGGCGGCAAGGTCGGGGCCGCGACGAGGGGCGGCAGGGTAGGGCCGCGACGGGCGGCTAGGGTAGGCCGCGACGGGCGGCAAGGCAGGGCCGCGGGTGGCGGCAGAGCAGGGCCGCGACTAGGCGGCGAGGTCCGGGCCGCGACGAGGCGGCGACCGGGCAAGGCCGCGACGGGCGGCTAGGTCGGGGCCGCGACGGGCGGCACTAGGGTGAGGCAGGCGCGAGGCGCGCTTCGGGCAGGGCAGGAAAAAAAAATATTATAATCGGGGTGGGCCCTAAAAAAAAAAAACGTTCCCACGAGGGAACCTGCTCAGAATACCATGTCAGAATAGTGAAGGAAGGAGTGACTGAACTAGCAAGCAGGTGGGTACAAGTAGGAAACCTAAAAGTATTGTACCCTATATGAACTACCCCACTACAGCCTACACAGGCTATAGCATATAAGTTTGACAGCTACGAATGTATAGTGATGACGTTCGGCCTCACAAACGAACCTTCGAATTTTCAACTGACCAAGAACAGGGTGTTTCGCAATCTTCTCGATAAGTGTATAATTGTCTACTTGGACGATATTCTGATTTTTAGCAGAACACGCAACCAACACCTCCACGACCTCGTTGTGGTATTTAAGCGCCTTCACGACAACCACCTCATCACCAAGGGTTTTAAGTGCGAGATTTTTAAGCAAGAGTTGGGTTTTTGGGGGCACGTCATCTCCCGCGACGGCATTAAAATCGACATGACGAAGATTACGACCATCCAGGAGTTGAAGTCCCGACTAATGTCAGAGCTTTTTGGGTTCGTGAATTACGTCAGGCAGTTTATCCCGAATATAGCGGGGATAACCGGCCCGCTGACCGACCTACTGCACAAGGACGGAAATTTTGTGTGGGGGGAGGAGGTTGAGGCGGCTTTTCAGGAGTTGAAAAAAAAAATCACGTCCCCTTCAGTTATACGCATCACCGACTCATCCAAGCCATTCGAAGTCGTAACCGACGTCTCAGATTTTGCCATCCGCGCTGTTCTCCTCCAAGATTTCAGCAACAGTTTGCAACCGATCGCCTACGAGTCACGCAAGCTACAGGCAGCCGAGCGCAACAACCCGATATACGACAAGGAGATGCTCGCCTACATTCACGCGTTCAAGCTTTGGCGCTGCTACTTGACGGGCGCCGACGTCACTGTTCGCACAGACCACAAGTTACTACAGTGTCTCCGTGCGCGACCCAACCTCATCCCGCGAAAAATCAGGTGGCTCGACTACATAGATACCTATTTCACCTACTGTTCCGCCCGACTCCATGGTGTTCGAACGGCAAGACTTAGAACCACGGCTCTGATACCACTTGTTAACTACTATTGGGACTAGAAACCTCTAAGCACACCTTTAATTCACACTAGTTTGTCCCCACGGGGTCACCTCCAAGGGTCCTTGGGTGCCTGGCAAAGCCAGCCCCTAACCAAGGGTCCGTGTTTGTCGAGGGACGTACTAATTGTAAATACAGTCGTGTGTACTAGAACTTTCCCAAACACATTTGCGCAGCGTTAGTTGACGGATTGGCTCGTGTGCGGAATTTCTCCTCGTGTCAATACGTCGATAGAGAATATTTCATTCACAAAAAGGTTAATCACAAAAAAACGCAAGCACAAATTTATACTAGCCCACAAAAAACGAAAGCTAACAGCCCACCGAAATAACAACTAGAACCATACTCCGAATTGCCAACTTTCTCCATGTGAAACCACTGGCAACATACTCGCCCATGAACGTTTATGTGGGCCATACTTGTTCGCGAAGCCTCGTGGACGCTCGTGGTGTTTCGTGGTGACCACTCGTGACAGCTCACGGAATCTTCTGAAGAAATCGCGCAGTTACGCGACGAAATTACGAAGTCGCCGAAATCACTCGCGCACAATTCGCACCAGCATCGAATGTAAATCGCGCGCTTCACGAAACACCCCGTAGCGAAATTCCTCTCGGCTAATGAGGACAAACAGCTCGAGGGTCCCACAGTTCAATTGTGGACCCACGCGCGCTTGACTTTTCCTCACACAATCCATAGTACCACACTTGCGCGTGTGGCGAATCCACCTGCGGCCTCAGGCCGCGCGTGTGCACACGTTGGCACACTTCCATGATTGCGCCACAATCCCAACAGTGCTCGAGCTCATGGCTTCAAGCCTTGACCACCTCGATAAGGGCGAGTTCTCTTAAGCCTCATTAACAAACACGAAATTACTTACGAACTCATTAAAACAATCAAAACGCAACTCCCAAACTTTACCTGAAAACTCACGAACTTGCATGAAATCACACGAACGTTTCACGAACAGACTCACGAACATTCACGACACTTTCACGAACACTCATGACTCGCAGAACAAATGAAATAACAGGAACGCACACAAAATCTCGGAACTCACGAAACTGTCAGATTTATATGACATAGCTACTGTAGGCTATAGTGGGGTAGCACATATGGGGTACAGTTTTCTAGGGTTTGCTTTTGTACCCAACTTTCCCTTAGTCAATTCATTCCTCATTTCTTCACATGGTATAGAGCAGGTTCCCTAGTGGGAACGCTTCCTTGGGCCCACCACTGAAACCTTTTTTTTCTGACCGGAGCGACAGTCGCTCCTGCCCGAGGCGCGCCTTGTGGGCCGCCCTTCTGTCGAGCTCTCTTAGAGGCCCCTCTCACGGCCCCTCGCGCCACCCTTAGCGGCCCCGTCGCCGCCCCTAGCGGCCCCGTTGCCGCCCTTCTAGGCCCCTTGCGGCCCCTAGCGGCCCCATTGCCGCCCCTACGCAGCCCCAGTAGCCGCCCCTAGCGGCCCTGTCGCCGCCCTTAGCGGCCCCGTTGCCGCCTCCCTCCCTACGCGGCCCCGTTGCCGCCCCTACGCGGCCCCGTCGCCGCCCCTAGCGGCCCCGTCGCCGCCCCTACGCGGCCCCGTCGCCGCCCCTAGCGGCCCCGTAGCCGCTCCCCTCCCTACGCGGCCCCGTCGCCGCCCCTACGCGGCCCCGTCGCCGCCCCTACGCGGCCCCGTTGCTGCCCCTAGCGGCCCCGTCGCCGCCCCTAGCGGCCCCGTCGCCGCTCCCCTCCCTACGCGGCCCCGTAGCCGCCCCTACGCGGCCCCGTCGCCGCCCTTACGCGGCCCCGTCGCCGCCCCTAGCGGCCCCGTCGCCGCTCCCCTCCCTACGCGGCCCCGTCGCCGCCCCTACGCGGCCCCGTCGCCGCCCCTAGCGGCCCCGTCGCCGCCCCTACGCGGCCCCGTCGCCGCCCCTAACGGCCCCGTCGCCTCCTCCCACCCTACGCGGCCCTGTCGCCGCCCCTACGCGGCCCCGTCGCCGCCCCTAGCGGCCCCGTCGCCGCCTCCCTCCCTACGCGGCCCCGTCGCCGCCCCTACGCGGCCTCGTAGCCGCCCCTACGCGGCCCCGTCGCCGCCCCTAGCGGCCCCGTCGCCGCTTCCCTCCCTATGCGGCCCCGTCGCCGCCCCTACGCGGCCTCGTAGCCGCCCCTACGCGGCCCCGTCGCCGCCCCTAGCGGCCCCGTCGCCGCTCCCCGCCCCTAGCGGCCCCGTCGCTGCCCCTACCCGGCCCCGTCGCCGCCCCTAGCGAGCAGCCGAGCCGCCGAGCCGCCCAGCAGCTGAGCCGCCGAGTCGCCCAGCAGCCGAGCCGCCCCTGGAGCAGCCGCCACTGCAGCAGCCGCCCCTGGAGCAGCCGCCACTGCAGCAGCCGCCCCTGGAGCAGCCGCCACTGCAGCAGCCGCCCCTGGAGCAGCCGCCACTGCAGCAGCCGCCCCCGGAGCAGCCGCCACTGCAGCAGCCGCCCCTGGAGCAGCCGCCTCTGGAGCAGTCGCCCCTACAACTGCCGCCCCTGGAGCAGCCACCCCTGCAGCTGCCGCGGAGCTCTCGCTCTACAGTGGTAGCGGCCTCGCCGTTGCCGCCGTCGTACGCCTGCCCTTCTCGCCACTGGTGAGCACTGCCCTGCCCGTACTGCTGTTACTGCTGCTTTTACTGCTGCTGCTCTTTCTACTGCTACTGCTGCTCCTGGCGTGGCCAGATGCAGCTCCAGCGTCGCCCGCGTGAGTCCCTCACCCCCCAACAGCTTCGTGCGTGGTACGCTAGTTGGGGTTGTCGGGGTGGCCGTAGTGGGAGTCGTCCTGGAGTGAGTAGTTCCACAGCTGCTTGTAGTGGCCAGGTGCAGCTGCAGCGTCGCCCGCGTGAGTCCCTCACCCCCCAACAGCTTCGTGAGTGGTACGCTAGTTGGGGTTGTCGGGGTGGCCGTAGTGGGAGTCGTCCTGGAGTGAGTAGTTCGGCAGCTGCTTGTAGTGGCCAGGTGCGGCTTCAGCGTCGTCCGCGAGCAGTCCTTTCGCCCCAGCAGCTTCGTGAGTGGTACGCTCAGCGTGACGGGTCACGGGGTACTGCTCGCTGTCCGTACGTCATTCGCACTGGTGCTCGGACTGGTCAGCCTTGCGGGACGTTGGGTCACGCAGAGTCCCGCTGCTTCGCCCGTCTGAGCGACGCCTGGCGTACGGAGTTTGGCGACGCGGCTGAGCTCCCCGACTGGGTGGAGC